AAAAAAAAAAAAAAAAACAACTCTCAAAAAAAAAAAAAAAAGAAAGAATGACAAATAAATGTGTTTTACCATTTCTCTTCATTTCTTCTCCTTTCCCTAAAACTATCACACTGTTCAACCATGTCAGCCCTTCCTTTCAGGGTCAAACTTCATCCCTGCCTTCCCAGTACAATTTTCCTCCCCCTGCTCTCATCAAAAGTGAATTTAGGGGCCAGCAGGTGGCATTTAGGTTAAGGCAGCTGGATCCTACATGGCCAGCTGTACAGTTCAAGTTCCAGACCAGGTGGCTTGAAAATCACACTGGGCATGTGTACATATGTGCTGAAAATCCCAAAAGGAGAATGAAGGAGAAGGGATTGTGGCATGGATGGCAATTCCCCCGTGGGGTGCTTTGTTACTTTTTCTGTCTCTGGTGAGAGTACGTGCCCTATAACTGTAAAAAAAAAAAAAAAAAAAAAAAAGAAGAAGGAAAGAAAAGCTGAAAAGTGAGGAGACTTGGGTTCTGTAGCTTTGTTGCATGATCTTGAGAAACCAAGGCAGTTTCTCTCTTGGTATTTTGACTTGGACTATATTTGTTTTTCATTCATTCAACATACATTTATTGAGTGCCTATTATGAATGTATAATCATGATAAAATAATTTGACAAATTATTAATTATCTCCTATTCCTTGTCAGAGAAGATGCCCAGTAGGATTAAAAACAAACAACTTTATGTTTTTCTTCCTGGAATTCTAGGTTTCTTGTTCCATGACATTGTTAATGGATTTCATGTTTTCTGATCCCAAACCCAAGTTGCAAACTACTCATTCCACAACCTTTACTGGGCTCCTATGTGGGAGGAGACTTTAATTTAGCTGGGTGATTTTGAGAAGATGCAGGACATGCTGGGTTGAAGAAAGAGGAGCTGTCCAAGAATAGCTGTGGGCGCAGGGACTTTATAAAGGAGATATACTAATGAGTTCCATGGATGGCATAATCTTGACAGAAGTCCTCTAGGAAGCAGCAGGACTGCTGATTTTAATGGCTGGGGGAACTAGCCCATCATCTTGGGAACTGCTGCAAAAGATGCTGGTGTGCATACTTGGCAGAGATGCTGTGGAAGCACTTGCCATTGGATGGACCATATGGATTTAGACAGTAAGCATCCTAGAGGCAACCACTTCAGCCTGAAAAATCAGAGGCTCTTTCCTAAGTGGTTGTTTATGTTTTATTTGCTTGTTTTGTACAAAAGTGTTGTTCTCATTATTGGAAAAGGCCTAGTAATGATTGCTGTTGATTGTCTTCCTACCCTAGTAAATGGGGTTTTGAGCCAGATTTTATTTAGAAAATGTTAATATGATGTTTCTTGCTCTTCAGTGATATGAAAAAAAAGAATATTGTCCCCCTCTTTTAATTGCCAGAGTACATCACTTGCCAGAGTTAGATAAATAGAGGCAGAGAAAGTAGTCACCAATGGAGCATGGTCATACCACAATCCTTTTTTCTCCATTCTTCCTTCCCATCAGAATTTTTGACTACAGACATATACAGACCTTGCATGTCCTTCAAGCTGCTTAGTTTAGGACTCGAACCACAGTCAGCTGTGTGGGGGATCCAACCCCCTTAACCACTGTGCTATGGGGTTGTCCCCAAATTAATACTCTAACATTATGAACTGGCCTGTGGCCTGGTGGTTAAGGGAACCAAATCCCACATGGCTAAATGTGTGGTTCCAATTCCAGTCTTAGCAGTTTGAAAAACACTCCAGGTGATGTGTGTGCATGCCCAAGAGACAGATGAGATGGAGAAATGGAGGAAAAGGGGATTGTGACATGACTAGGCCTCATTGCAGGGTACTTTCACTCTTTCTCTGTGTCTCTGGTGAGCATGTACACCCTATGGCAAAAAAAAAAAAAAAAAAAAAATTAAAACACATTTTCCTTTTTAATTTTTTTTTTTTTTTTTTTTTGCTTAAACAACAAATGTTGATTTCTCATAATTCTGGAGGCTGGCAAGTAAGTCCAGCATCAGGTTGCTAGCCAGTTTGGTCCTGGTGAAGGCCCTTTTCCTGGTTTACATATGGACAACTTCTTGCTATATCCTATTTAATCTTTTTTTTTTTTTTTTTAGATTTTTGCCATAGGTTGTGTGCTCTTGCTAGAGAGAGAGGAAAAGCGAGAAATGACCATGACC